TACTGGTCAATTTTATCGTCGTCCTAGATATCAGTGTCACGTGCTCCAATGTTTTTCCTGTTGGTTGTCCTGACTATCAATGTCATTTTAAATGTTGTTTCCTATTGGTCGTCTTAACCGTCAATGTCACAGACTTCGATGCTGTTTCCTATTCGACCAAAACGTATAAATATGCATTATTTGTAACGTTTCATGACCACGACAGGATCAGGGCTCGGTCCCGGATCCGTATTCCGGGATCCTGTTTCTCTTCTGGATTCGGACCCCGTACTTTCTGGATGCTTGTAGAATACAGGTTCTACTTCATATCAAGTCTAGTCTCCTTTTGATAAATATGGGGGGTTTGGATAATCGGATTTGTATAGCATGTCGTGTCGCCGGATCCTCGATCCTCTCTCGCGCGTTTTCGACTTGGTAAACTCGTGTTAGTTCAAGTATTTAAAGTTGAAGTGCTTACATGCAGGCGTAACATATATATACCAGTATTTATACTTATGATTCAGTAGCCGAATAGATATTTTTGTAATCATTCTGTATTACGGCTACCTTTGTAGGCATGTTTTCGTATATTTTTGGATCCTTTCCATCAATCCGGTAAACAATTAAACCAATCATGTCATTATTATTCAGATTTACAAACAGGTGATGCTGAAATGGCAGATAAAGAAAATGAACAACCATCCAATATGGATGATACAGTTAATGATATTATTTCACATGAAATATCTTAATTAGGTGAAAATCTTTTGCTGGTGCACCTGCATCACAAATTGTCACATCACTGACATACCCGTCACAAATGAAATGTAAGTTTTTTATTTTATTGGATTTGTATATGTAATAGTTGTTTCATACTTAGATGGTTCATATCAATTTGAGTCATCTATCTCATTCGTAAGTGTTTTGTACAATGGAACATTGGGAAACATATTACGCAATGGTCACTGCTGGTTAGGACTGCGATTCTGTACCTTTTCTCCATTTGAAGTAGATTATTTCCCTAGAATAGAGATCACAGTTAAAACCTTTGATCTAAACAAATCCAATTTGTTCAACAATTGTTTGACGTCGAGCGATGGGTCATCCTGTGTATTGATGATCACAAACAATTTCGTGAACTATTTCGTTTCTCTAGGATCCTGTCGTTTATTTTGGTCATTAATTTGCGATTACGCTTTTTCAACATCCAACGTTGATCAACCTTTTGTCCACCAGTTTAATAGGTAGCGTATTTATGATGCCTTATTGTACTAAACGTTTTTGTATTGCAAACAAAACAAATCAGTCACTCAGTCAGTCAGCAACATGGTAAAACTTCGTACGTATGTACACCAGTTCAAGTCGCCATACAACATTGACACAGAGACGCAATTGTCAATTCAAATCCCATAGTAGTAGAAGTAATAAAAGTATTAGCAGTAATCTGAGAGATTAGGGTTTGAAGATATTATTCACGGAGTATAATCCAGTGAAATAAATTTAAGAAGATAACGATAAAGGTGATGAGGTACTCAGATAAGAATTTAGGATACACAAAGAGTGGAAACACCTGAGCCTTTTTCAAACGATTTTGAGCCATGTCATTCTGAGTCTTTAATCCTTGATTACTATCATTTCGCGGACCCCAACCAGATAGTGAACATTTTGTAACATGACTCAGTCCACTTGTCAGTGACTTCATGGATGTGTCCTGATTCGGTCTGGCCATCTCTAGATTTCTTCCAACCTACTTCTTAACCACGCCCTATTACTAGTGCAAAACAAAATCAAGTCTTTTCAAACTGCAATCATCCTTTTTTCCGGAAAGAGCATACTAACCACAATAAAACAGTAAGCAAAATATTCCTCATAAAATCGTCAAAAGCACGTAACATTTTTTAGAGGAACCATTTCAAGATTTCTAAAAGCATATCACTTATCTACTGCATATTGTTTATAATTAATCTGATTTTGCATAAAACTCATATAACGAATATCATGTAATCACTACTGACTAGTTTCGTGAGGAAATTTACGAAGTTCCAGTGAGAAACCGTAGCTAGTGGAGTTCAACTGTGTGAGGCAGTTACCTACCGAAGACAGCTGTGGTGTAGGAGTAGATTGGAAGAAACCTAGTGGGCGGGCGGCCAGATCAAAACGTGGCAGAAATCCATGAAATCACAGTCAAGTGGACTGATTCTAAATTTCTGTTACTGAATTATACTTCTTGTATCATATCTTCGTACCCAAACCTTTTCCATTACTGCTAATACTTCTACTATCGCTACCACTATCGGATTTGAACTGACAGTGGCGTCTCTGTGCTAATGTGGTATGGCAACTTGAACTGACGTACTTACGTGGTAAGTTCTACGTTGTTGTCGATTGACTGACTGACTGACAGTTCTGCTTATCTTCAGTGTGAGCAATCAATCAAACACTTGTTGTTCAAATGAATTTCCTTGTCTGTTTGTTTTGTTCTCTCTCTCGGGTATATAGTCATTTCAAAACCAAGAATGAATGAACATGCTCACACAATGGAACGTAATAAATCATGTCCTACACATATGAATTATTGGTTTTCAATGAATTCCACTAGTGGTAATCATAAACTACCTGATACTGATAATACTAATACTGATCACATTGATAAAATCAATAACTCTTGTTCCGTTGATCATCATGAAATAATGATTTATCGAAGTATACAAGGCATAAATCAATTAAAATATTTAGCTACCTACCTATTCCTATTGTCCTATTACATTTGAAGCATTTCATGAAATCAGTACTAATAATAATTTTATTATGCATAATGATGATAGTCGTGTATGGAATATTACTAAAGAATTTCAAATTCTCATTCGAAGCATTGCTAGTGTATTATCACGTTTTATTAATAAACTTGCAGATGTGTTTTTGTAAGTTGAATATATTGATGTTATTATTGTTTTATGTTTTATTCATGGGGAAATAGTTTAACGATTAATGATGTTGAGAATTCAATAAAATGTGTGTGTCTTTTTGAAAAAAATTGATACTGGATTCTTTGGTATGATCAAAAGTGAGGGGAGTCTGTTTCCAATGCTCTCATTGGCTTGCTAGATATGAATGAGAGTGGGAAAACTCTGATTCCAAACCCCAGTACCAATAGTGCATACAGGCTCTGGGAAAAAAATAGAATGTGAACCTGCGGTTGTTCCTTGGCTACCACGGGACTGCATTTCTTGATGTTTCTTCAGTGCCTTATATATTAGACCTATAGGTCAAAGTCTCAGAGATATTGGCCCTCTAAGAAAACCACTTGGTTCGGTTTGGGCAGATGGACAGTATTTTATTTAATATTTTATTTTTTAATAAGCAAACAGGAGTTATGAAGCTTTGACTCAGTATTTATAGAGTTCAGCTTTCCTACACTAAGTTCCAGTTTCGAATTCTATCCCATGTTTTTGAATACGGGCACTCGGTTGGTATCATCACGTAACTTCAAGTGTCTGGTCATTGGCTTAGTAAATGAAAGTATTGAAAAATTCGTAGAATAAAACTGAGCGCAAAAGTAACTAGTTTTGAGCTATGATTATCTAGTTCTGAAGTAAAATTTACTATCAAATATTAACTCAAACGTAATAATACCGGGGTTATTCATCGAATAAAATTGTGAAAATGTCTAAAGTCTACGGCATTCTACATTTCAGTTTTATCGGGTAATTAATGCAGGAATCAAAAACAATAATGCACGTTTATCAGCTCATTTAATGAAGGTAAATTTGTTAGCTTCACCAGGAGCTTACTTGTACAATGTACTCATGAGGATACACTGAAACGAAGAGAAGAGTCATTCACATCTTCATTGCTCATTTTCTTCACGTGTTTGAAATGAATAAGCACTGATTTTGAGTCTCAGTTTCAACATCAGCACTGAGATGCAGTTACATCTAGTTCCAAATAACATTGTATGCACGTCATAGATTCCACTGCTAATCAGAATCTAAATGAACAAATCTCAGCAGAGACTATTCAGTTGCAGTCCTGATTATCAACAAAGGATAATCACAGACCCTTACTCTCTCGCCGAATCATGCTTCTTGAATAATATCTTCTAATCCTAACCTCTTCGATTACTTCTAATACCTTTACTACCTCTATTAATATTTGATTTGTATTGACAATTATATCTCTGTACTGATGTGGTATGGCAACATGAACTGATGTACTTACGTACGAAGTTCTATGTTGCATCTGACTGACTGACTGACAGACCCTTACTCAGTCATTCAGTCAGCTACAAACTCTTACTAATACTTCCAATAATTTACATTACTTAAAGCTACTAACTACTTTTGTCTTAGTAAGCAATGGTGTCGTTAGGAAACGGGTCCTAGGTAAGGATGGCAGGTCAATAAATGAAGTATTGAAACGTCATCAGCTGAGGTGGCGGGGACATGTGTTACATATACCCAACCACCGACTGCCTCGTCGAGCTATATTTTGTGGTGTAGTAATAGGTTGGACAAAAGCTAGGGCCGGCCAAACCAAAACATGGCAGAAATCCATGAAGTGATTGACAAGTGAACTGAGTCATGTTAGTAGGTGTCGACTACCTGGTTGGGGCCCATGAAATGATAGTAATCAATGGTTAGAGACCCTGAATTACATGGTTCAAAATCGTTTGCAATGGCGCCGGTGCATTCACTCTTTGTGTTCTCTTAAATCCTGACCTTCTGGATTCCTTATCACCTCTTTCTCTTTCTAAGTTCATTTCAATGGATTATACTTCTTGAATAATATCTTCGAACACTAATCTCTCCGACTACTGTTAAAACCTTTACTATCTCTACTATTATGGGATTTGAAGTGACAATGACACCTCTGCGCTAATGTTGTATGGCACTTTGAAATGATATAAATACGTACAATGTTCTACTTTGCTGTTGATTGGTTGACTGATTGTCATTGTCTTAGTCATATTTTTTCTCTCTTTTCATTCATTTTTTTCTCTTGTTTAAGTCAAATGATGAAAGAGGAACAAATATCCAAATTCATCAACATCATCATCGTCAACAAAAACAAAATCAACTGTTGTACAAAATGAATTTATTGGTGATAATACTACAAATATTACATGTTCAATTGATCATTCATTATTCAAACAATCTCAGTCTATTTCTTCAAAACAAAAAAGTTACATTTCATTGTTATCAATTGTTCTATCATTGATTACTGATTGTTTAGATTTAGCCTCAGTGTTTGCAGTTTTCATTAAAACTGATCAAAATCTATTGAAAACTAAGACTGCTGATTCCGTTGTGAATACAACAGATGTGTAAGTGTATTATTTCGTGGAATTTAACCATATTGGTTTTCATGAATTATGTATGAATAGTTTCTTGTTGGTTAATTTATGTGCTGTTATGCGTATGAGGAAGGATGTTACTTCCTGGCTGCTCGCACCATGGAACAATGCTTCTTGAGGAATATGAAAAGGGAATTGAATCAGTGTTGATCTTAACGACCTGGGAGCGTGATCCCAGAACATTATGGACAACTGCCTGAGGCCAGTCGGACACGACGGACTATTTAATAGAAGTTTTTAGCGTGTTAGCTCCGCTCTTCAAAAGGCCTCACTGCAGGAAACGTAAATCTGTGGGATGAGGTGCGACATTTTAGAATCGTTGGTCTTAGCGACCTGGGTGCGTGACCGCAGAGCCCAAGGGACAACTGCTTGAGGCCGGTCAAACAGGGCCTTTTATTAAGGGATTTTTGAGTATTAGCTCCGCTCTTGAAAGCCCTTAGTGGGCACCCTTACCGACGGAGACGGAAATCCGTCAGGTAGGGTGAAGTGTGACATTTTTAGGGTTGACCTTTTTTAACCCTTCTTTCCTTGTGAGAAGGCAGCATCGCTGCAGATGCTGGTTGTCCGAGGGAAACACCTTCATGCTGTCACAGCCCTCTGCAGTCAACAGTACGACTTCGCCCTCAGACCTTGTGTAGCTGCTTTTAGTTTGATCATTCTCCAATCGACCTGGTTGGCATGGTAGAACCTCCAGGAACATATGTTCCAGCCAGTATAGCTCGGTTGGGTCGTCACGATAGGCAAGCCCCATCACCACGTCAAGGTAGCAGCTATGGTCGGCTGATAGTGATAATTGAACTGTTACGTAAGACAATATAAAAAAATTTGCCATCACTTTCTTGTAGTTTATTTTTGTTGACTATTAAAAATGTATTTCTGTACACTTTGTTAACTTTAGTGCTGAATTGAACACATGTTTTCCTCAATTGTTGAATTGTATTATCCTAACATCAGAAGCTTGTTTCAATCAAGCTCATGAATCAATTAATTTTACAATGACCACAAATTATCAATTTAAATCTTCTAATCCTAATAATGGCATAGAGAATTTGATTAAGAATCGTACTGTTGTAACTCTGAAACCATTGATTAGTTTTCTTCGTCTCTGGCGACAAATGATATCTCAAAAACATTGGCCTGGTGGACATTGTTGTGACCAATGGTGGGACTTTGGTGATCAACAATTGAACTCAACTGTATCAACAGGTAAGGTACTCTATTTATTACAGTAAACCATAGTAAAAAGGGCCTTTTTCCGGAAAAAAAAAATCAAAAGCAAAAAAAATTAAACGGGAATTTAAGAACCAATAACCGGGAACGAATAAGGAACAAATATTAGAGAAGTAAGTCCTGTAAGTCTGTAGTCAGTGGAGTTCAACCGTAACCGGGTCGTGAGAAAAATGTTACCAACAGCAGTTGATGATAGACTGAATCACGAATTGGCTAACATCAGAGGTATAATCCACTGAATGTCAACTCAATAACCTGAAGATCTCAAGCTCGATTAGTGGTTGTGTTGTTGGCGTACATTCCTGAAGAATCTCATCTTAGGATGAGATATCTGTCCATCGCTGGTTTGTTTTCAATAGTTGTCTAACTGATGTCAATTTTTGGTAGAAAAAAGTCGGTCATATCATTCTAGTTGATTTAAAATCTTTCACTTGTTACATTTCATCAGTATAGTCTTCAATAAACACTAGGATTGTTATTTTGTTTACATCTTTAAGAAAAAAGTTAGTTCATTTAGAATTTTCACGTTGGGTAATATGGTTCAGAATTAATCACAATGACCCGGATGCGGTCAATATACACAACGGACAAGCAAGATCCTTTGATACAACACAGTATACACCAACGAAATTGCATTCGACGGATAAACATTGGAAGATGTAGAAACCTTTATATACTTGTGTATCATTATTGATAAACAAGATGGATCTGATGCAAACGTGAAGACATAGATTGGCAAAGCAAGGGCATTGTTTAGATCTTTGTTAATCAACTTAAAAGTCACAATTTTCATTGTGGACGTCAAAACCGTTTGGTTGTATGAAGTAGAAACTTGGAGATCCACAAAAGCCGTTATCCACAAGATACAAGTGTTTATTAACGTTTGTTTACACACGATACTTCGCATCCGTTGGTCAGATAGGTACCACCAACAACAGTCTACTATGAGAGAGAACAGCAGATTCCAGCTGAGGAAGAAGTTACGAGAAAACGCTGGAGGTGGACAGGACACATTGCGAAAAGCATCCATTTGCATCACGATGCCAGCTCTCAGTTAAGACTCTCAAAGCTGAAGGAAAAGAGGTAAACCAAGGAACACACTGAGCCGAGAATCGAAAAACAGACATGAAAAGAATGGATAGCAATCGGTTAGAACTGGAAAGAAAGCCCCAGGACAGATCAGGTTGGAGAATGCTGCTTGGCGGCCTTAGCTCCATGAAGGGTAACATGTAAGAAAGTATCTTCGAACATCCATTTGCGAAACAAATCCATTTTTGACTATCTCTCCTACATATCTTCTTGTCTCCAAACTACACTGATCATGGCATGCATTTCTATCTGGTAACCACTTCTAGACACCGCTACGCCACATACTACTTACATTTCACTGTGATTAGCATTCACTACATCTTCAATGGTAACAGAATTTCTTCATTCCTTCATTGAATTGTTGAAGGAGGTAGGTGGAGAGTTATAAAAGTGAAAGGATATATTTCTGGTTCCTCTGAGCGTTTGTTTTTCCTCAGTATATATTGACTTGTGCATTTTCTCGGAGAGCTACCAAAACCATCATCAGTTTTCTACGCAAAAAACTTCGAGTCCGTTGGCCAGACACCATCAGCAACAATCTACTATGTGAGGAGACAAACCTAATTCAAGCGGAGGAAGAAATCAGGAAGAATCGGTGGAAGTAGATAGAACTCACACTGAGGAAAGCACCCAACAGCGTCACAAGATAAGCTGTCACTTGGAACCCTCAAGATCAAAGGAAAAGAGGAAGGCTAAGGAACACATTACTTTGAGAAATGGAGACAGACATGATAAGAACGAAAAAAATTGAACAGTACTGGAAAGTAAGTTCCAGCGTACTTACATGCCTACTCTTGTTATCCCTCATAGAGCATCGATCGCTAACCATCAGTTTTCTGGCGGATGTTCTCTTCGCGAGTTGGTTGTTTTCAGGATGGGGTCTCCAACCTGATCCCCAACCCTCTTCCTTTATTCGGGCTTGGAACTTGCAGTAACCCCTGGAGTTCTTCAGGTGGAGTAACAAACACTTTCGTAAACTTTTTTCTCCATTCTTATAGATGTTCGTCAAGAATACATTGAAAAATTATTCGGTACATCTATAAGATGTGGTTTACTTGCATTATGCACATGGGTTCGTCAAATTATCGATCGATTCAATGATTATATCCTGTTATCAAATTCATGCATTGATAATAATAATGTTGAATTTCAACATTTAATGGAGATGCAACGAATTGATTTATTGAATGAAGTGAGTTTGTTGTTGTTGTTGTCATTGTTCACATAATCCTAATCCTCTGGATTCTACATCATCTTTGTGTTTCTCTTTTTAAGTTTATTTGATTAGATTATACTTTCTGAATAATATCTTCAAACCCTAACCCTAAACCATCATAGGATTTGAATTGACAATCGTGTATCTCTCTGTACTAATGTGGTATAGCAACTTCAACTGATTTACTTACGTACAATGTTCCATGTTGTAACTGACTGACTGACAATGTAATTCAATTTTTTATTTGTTTTTAAAAAAATAGATGTTGTTTTACGCTTTACTGGTACACTAATGATAAATATTCATGTTACTAAGTAGACTGAAATGCACAAATTAAGGAATGAATTGTGTTAAACACCCTGAATCTACTGGATATTCGTTGATTGGTCGATCTGGCAGGAGATCAATCGGTACCTGAATAGCTAAATAGATAGCTAGGTAAGGATGGCAGATCAATAGATTTAGTTGTGCTTCTTCATCAGCTGAAGTGATTGGGACATGTTTTACCTGTGCCTAAGCATCAACAGCCTTGATGAGCTATGTTTTGTGGTGTAGGAGTAGGTTGGAAGAAAGCTAGGGGCGACCAAACCATAATATGACACAAATCCATGAAGTCACTGACAAGTGGATTAATCCATGTTAGTAGCTGTAGACTACCGGATTGGAGTCCTCGATACCAGAGTAACCGATGGTTAGAGACTTTGGATGGCATGGTTCGAAATCGTATGCAGTGGCTCTAATCTTTTGAATTCCTCATCACCTATATCTTTCTCTTTTTAAATTTACTTCACTGAATTACAAAATTACCGAACCCTGATCTTCATTACCGCTAATGCTGCTACTAATTCTACCACTATTGCGCCTCTGTGCTAATGAGGTAAGGTAACTTGAACTTGTGTACGTACTACGTACGTACGTACGAACGAAGTTCTACATTGTTGCTGAATGACTGACTGATATGGTACCATCTTAGGCTGTGAGAGACTGCGTAACTCGGATTCAACTGCCAGTTCCATCAAGATTTCACATACATCTTATTCATGAGTATCAACTAGCACGTTATTTACATTGTCAGTTAAAAGTGTATTCGCAGTTCAGGTCTCGTAATCTATAATTTTTATCAATAATCAATTAGTTCCAAATACCATAGACATAATCCACGATCATGTTTATCAGGAATAATAGAGTAATACAAATTACCAATGTGTTTTGTAAACATAAATGGTAATTATATCAGTGATCTGTTAAAGTGGCAGCTTATTAGATTAGAACAAGCATTGTACTAGTAGCAGTTGTATATTGTGTCAGTGATAATGAACAAGTTGTATATGCAGACAACGAAACGATAACAGAAACACAATCGAAAATCAGACTAACTCCATCGATCCCTAACATCAAAACAAATAAAATCTATGATTACAGCCTTCAAAATTTTCTAGTTCATTTAAACATGAAAATATCAGACAATAATCAAGCGTGTTAACTCACTTATTAACTGTAAAGAATAATTAATTAATATTAGAATTTTTCTACGTATAATTTTAACTAACTTAATATTTTGCTAAAGTAAATAAGTACGAAATTTAGACAGGCTCATCGATCTATTATCATGAAAAATTATTCACTTGAGTTCAGTTAGTTTGTCAGTTAGTCAGTGAGCTACAATGTAGAACGTTGCATGTACGTACATCCCTACCCTAGAACCCGTTTCCTAACATTAGCACTGCTTACTCGTTGATCCCATATTATGCGGGCAATGCTACGAAGAAATTAGTCCAATTTGCCATACCACAGAGAAATGGAATTGTCAATTCAAACCCTGTATTAGTAAAGGTTGGTAGTAGAGGTCCATTTGGGTTATTCAGAGTGTGTCACATTAGAAATCTAAATTTGAGGTAAAGAAATATCATTGTACCAAGAGTGTGGATGGAACTTCTCGTACTAGGATAATTTAGTATCCTAGTTTTTATATTTTGTCAACCACCATCAACCATGAGGCGGCGTACAGTCTGCCCTTCCTCTCAAAATGCTCTCATATGGTCACTGTCAGGGAAGTCCTACTCACTACATTCTCGTGGCTAGGTTATTATTTACAAAGGATAATGTCCGGGTAGGCGGGTACAGATGATCCACTTACAGGAGTGGTTTATAGGATCCTGATTAAACAAATGGCCTATGCACCTATTGTTCGTCAGTGGCTACCATGAGACTGTATTTCCTGACGTTGCTCTAATGTGCCTTGCAGATTAGAGTTGTATGCCCTTTGAGAAGAACACCCGCTTTAGTTCAAATACTCGGACAGTATTGTATCCCATACGCCAATTCAATGATTTGTGATGTGTATATACATTTAGGTGTCCCTCTGTACCAATATTTATGTGTTTGAAAAAAGAAGTACGTAATTTTTTCAGTCATTTGTAAAGTGTACTGCATATGTTGATCATCTAATTGACAAATACATTAACCATTATACTTATAAAAATTCTCTTAGTGTTATGCTCATCTCTAGGTATGGCTAAAACTTTCGCGGGTTCAGCTTAGTCGAATAACGAGAGCAAAACAATGAACCAGCGTCCAGGTACGCTATTGTGATCCGATTGTCTTAATTGTACCAGCAAGAAGTCTTGATATAGCGTAGAAAGTGTATTCACCCAGCCAGCACACAATGAATCCAAGCACTCGAATTGCGTTTATTTTATACTCTGTAGGGACGTCCTTGGGACAGTCACAAAAATAGCACACTAGACTGACACAGTAACTAATCACAACCAAAGAGTTTGCTGGTGGGAAATGTGATCTCAAGGTCAATTGATATCGGTCCATGAAATAAATTTGGGGATCTAACATTCCCCAAAACTTGGTATTCTGTAAATTGTATAATTTTATATTTTCACATATTCATTTATCTCTGTTTATAGTTTTCTGGGATAATTGCTGTGCTCACTGAACGTGACGATGTAATTTGGCCTAATAATTGTTATTGTAAACCTCAGGTAAATATACCTGGTTTATTGTTGTTTACTGTTAAGTGTTTTACTTAAAAAGGATTTTAAAATATCGAGAAATATTTGAAAATTTAATCGTTATATTCATTGTTGTTGACCATTTAAATATATAACTAGTTAATAATTAGTAGAGTAGTAGTAGTAGTAGTAGTCAAGTTTAGGTTTTGGCTAGCGGTGAAATTTCACTTGTGTTTCGTTTTATTTTGAACTCATCAGACGGATTTTGTTGTAGCCTAATATTGATATTCATTCTGAGGCATTAACTTAGTGCCTTTCACCTTAAATCCCAATGTCTCATTCATTGAGTTACTTAAATACAGGGTTCGATGTTAGATATCTAAGCGTTTATGTTTTCTTGTTAATATTATTGAGCCAAACTTTATGAGCCTTTGTTGGAATCTTGGCATCTTGTACAGATTGCATCGATAATGTCTTTAGCTACGAGTCTTCAGACAATTTCGAATCATCACTTGTAAATAAAGACAATATTGAACCAACCAGATTAGGATGTACATACGTCGATTGAGACTGATTGAATGTCAGTTACTCTCTAATGGCAGTCAAAGGTAAAAAATCCATATATATATATATATATATATATATATATATATATATATATACAAATTATGAACTTAGCTAGAGCACCATTAAAACTCTGGTTTGATTGTATGGCCGTTTCGTCCTTGTACGGGATTACTTAGCAGTGCGCATCCATTAGCCAGGCAATAGATGGGGATTATGCAATATCACTGATTGGTTGAAGTTCGATATTCACACCGTTGGATGCCGGCTCAGTAGTTAGGAGGTTATGCTTTCACGTATGAGATCGAATGTGCTGGGTTCGATTCTCGCTTGTGAGGATCGTAGACACACATTGCTGATGAATTCCATACTAGTACGAAATGTCTTTCCAGTGCTTCCAGGTCTCAAATTGTGGCATTTCATAGCAGGAGCTTACATTGCAATAAACAAGTATGTCGTACGTTGATGTCGTGTTCTGCGTACACAATTAAAATGTTGTCTTTATGCTAATTGTATTCAAGGTTGATAAATATAAACCATTTCGGACATGTTTAATTTCAATGATAAGATTAATAGTATTTCATTTATAACATGTTTTCTTCCGATAACACAAATTACAAGAATAAAATCATAATAGTACTAATTTATAGCATATCTTTGTATGTCTAATAAAAATTTCAGGTTTATTCAACATTAGTTCATTTAACAGCTTATCCATTACGAACATTATTAACTATTCCTACTAGTTTATTATCTACACCAATAACTCATCTTCATCTTCATCATCATCATCATGAATCCACGATAACATGTCATATATTATTAATCAAACAAAAATATTGTTTAACTGCTTTCGGTCAATTAACACGTGCTTTGATTGGTCTATTATGTCGACATGGTGATCAATGTTTTCAATTATATACAGATTGTTTACCGGATTATTTTTGTTTAATTGCAAATTTATCACGTTGGCTTCAATATTCAAATCGTATACAAGTAATCAAGCATGACAATGATCAGTCAACTTATTCATGCAGTCGTAATTCTACTACTACTAATTCTGACAATAGTAGTAATAATAATCATAACAAAAATAGTAATAATATTAGTAATAATAATTTCACATTAACACCTGAACTCATTGAAGAATTGTATGATTTTGAATCTGGACTAGAAACTCCATCGAATTCAAATACTTTCTGACTTATTTATAAATAAATATATAAATATACACCTAATTTCCTGATATGTGATCGGTGAATTTTTTGTACATTTTGTAAATATTACTTTGTTTTCTCCCTATATTGTATAGAGAAATTATTACTTTAGTCAATTTTTACTTCTTTTACTCAACATTGAACATTTTGTATTTGATTTATTGTTGCCCCGGATGTTATTCATTGTTCAATTGTTTGTTTATTCAAACAAGATTATTTGTTCTGCAGTTTAATTTGTTTCTTTATAATTTTTCTTTTATTGCTTTGTTACGGAAAGAGATAAAAAAAAAATCGTAGTTCAACACAATGATACTTCCTTCATTCTGTAAATATTAGTCAATAAAATAAATTTTGATTTTACACTGTGTCGTCTACTTTTTAATTGCACTTTAGTATGTTGTTTACTCAATGTCTGAGAGAAGTGTATTCTATTAACATGTATTCATCACTAAGATGATAGAGAAAATGTGTAGCTCATTTGAAAGATAATTATAGTGGGGTTTTATTCTTAGAGAATGAAACTATTGTCATGTTAACAATTATTTTTTATTTGGCGGGGTTTGAAGTTAATCTCAACTCTTTTAAATGTTCTTTAATTCTGTTGTATTGAATTATATATATATATATATATATATAATTATTCTACCTCTACTATGATGGGATTTGAATTGATCTCTGTGTGCTAATGTTGTTGTATGTACGTATGAAGTTCTACGTTGTAGCTGACTGACTGTTGTATTGAACACATATTGATCAATGAATGAGTGATTGATGTTAATCCGAGTGTAATTTCAATTTTTTGTTTTATAAAAATAATTTTAATTGTTTTAATTTGACTTATTCACTGAAAATAGTTATGGGTAATTTTATTTACTCCTGTATTAAAATTATCTGAAGTAAATATTACAGTTTTCTATGGATAGAAACATATGACTGAAACTGTTGAGTATCACACACATTTAAAGCGTTTTGAAGTGGTTAAGATTTGTATGATGGTTTATAGGGCGGTTTATTAACACGGTCTGATATTTTACTCAAGAACATATGGTTTAAAGTATACTAGTACTTAGTTTTATTTCATTATAACACATACTGAAGTTTGAGCAACCAAAAGGTACTACTAAACCTCGTATCTAAAGTAGGATTCAAAATGAACTTGAAAAACGTACATTTTGCATACTACTCTACTCTTTATTTACTATGGTATCACCTACTGAATGGTCTAAAGCTGTAAATAGGTAAAAATATCATCTAATTTATGCATGGAATTTGTCTGTATGCTTCACCCATCCATCTATAAATGACGATTTATCTACTTCTCTCTAAATCTAAATATTTCCGTGAAGTCTGATAATACTATTCAGCAGTCAGACTTGAATTAACTGACATAGGTTCAAACTTATGACATATTGATTACGCTGATCAATAAACCATGATTCCATACACAAGAAATGGATATTTTTAGCTTTGTAATGTTTAGTCTACTCGTTAGTATTATGCACACATATTTTTATTCAAGACCTGATCGATAATTTATTAAACTGAACAAACGTGACCTTCTTCACTACTCAATGATAAAACTATGTTATCTGTGACATTTGTTTATCTAACCAGTAAACAATACTACGACAATTAGATATGTAGAGTTTAGACATTCACGCACAAGACTGAAGCCCCTCGGTCTGAAACGTGTGAGTAGAGGGAGTCGTGATGCGCATCGTTGTTGAGTCCTTCACCAGGACGAAACGACCGTCTTACAATGATTCCAGGATTCTGTTGATAGTGTTTCATTGATCGATTCATGAATTAAAACAAGATGTTTCTTTGTGTCTGTTTTAGTAATATTAAAAAAATATGGAAAGAAATCGTATCGCATTGACATTTTACGAGATGGGTGTTGTAAAATTTGGAAAATACCAATTAAAATCCGGTATCATCTCTCCGATCTATGTTGATTTACGAATTCTTATTTCTGCACCGAAATTTATGGTGAGTTTCGTTTTTATTTGCTGTGATCTACATCAGATTTTTTTATCATTCAGAATAAATATTAGTGTTATTATTCATAAGATAGTTATTGTTACAGTTGGTAACATCCAAAACTAAATTGATCGGTCTCTTTTTGTGTATACGAACTTCGAAAACATGGGAAGATCTTGGCGGATTAGTTTGTATTTTATGTGAGTGACAATCACGCATAGCGTCTGTGATTTAGATATTTGTATAGTACAAATCCCTTTCTTATGATCTAGTTATCCCAACATAAAATGCTCATATCCAAATCTTGTATATTTCTCAACTCATTTAATTTTGTGTGATATTCAACTAGGGATGTGTAAGCAATCAGTATTTTGAGACTACTACTTTACGCGCAACTCAATTCATAATCTTACATATATATGTTCATTTATATAAACGAGTCAAGGACAAAGTTGGTTGGAGAATACTATTCGTCGGCCTATGCTTAATTAAAAGTAATAAGCGTAAGTAAATAAGTAAGGAATATGAACCAGTAACTATGATTCCGTTAAAGAAGCCAAATGCCTGTTAATCGCGCATGAATGTTCACTACGTCCGGCGCTGTTGTCTGTTTGCCATGACCGAACTGGTCAAGTCTGGCTTCGTTGGGCTTCTCTGGGTCGACCCGGTGACTGTTATGTTTATTTATGGGCTGGGGTCAGTAACCGGTTGTAGCAGATCTGTGCGGTGTGTCAGAGATGGCGGCATCTTGTATGCGCCTAGAAAAATACTTTGTATAATTAGAGCGTTTCAGTAGTAGTAGAGACGGCTACCTCTTCGTGGTCCCGCCAAGCAATGTGGCGTTGCTTACAGCGCGGCGCCAAATGTCGTTCCGATTGCCAAAGATACCGTGTTTAGCGTGATCTGTGGTCGCTAGCTTCGGGATGCTAATAGGTTAAAAGGATCAAGTTGATTCAAAACACTAGTGCGGGGGTGACTGTTCATGAGTACCCTAATTGGCTGTTTGACTTAACTGCGTGAGAAACTAAACAAGATTTAAGTCCACTTTGGCTGATCGAGTTTCAGCAGTCATGTGAATCTTACTCTAATATAGCCAAAATGTTGTTGTATTTCTTGCTAAATTAATAAATCACATTCCCATTAGAATAATTTATTTATTGATATGTACATTTAGGATGAAGTCGCACAATCACTCATCAGTTTATTGCCCAATCAAGGAATAGATCTTATCTGTGGTGTTCCATACGCAGCTTTACCAATAGCATCGGTAATTTACATGTTTGTTGTTTTTTCAAATAGAAAGTTATTGTTCGATTATTCATCCTGTCGCGTGTATGATAATAAGTTTTGTTCCATTCTGAATGGTGGTTATTCGTAGCTTGTATAATGATGTGTTTTCTGTTTATCAAATTTATTTCATTGGATTATACTACTCGAATAATATTTTCGAACCCCAATCTTCTCTGTCTCATCAGTGTTGTGAGTCTCAACAGTGCTGGGAGTCTCATCGGTGCTGATGGCCTGGTGACTGACCAAATCAGCTCGGATACAGAAGGCTCGTCTAGCTTTTG